CGATCCACTTCCTTTATAGCTTATGATACAAAAGTTGACTTTTATGTGTGTGAGAGAAGTGTGTGAGTCAAAATGGGACCAGTTTCGGTTACGTGTAAGCGTGGAGAGTTACCGATACTAGTAATATTGGGTCCAGTCACGTAAAAAAATGCCAGCATAAAAAGGGGCAAACCCAAATAACAGAGTATGATTAAATAATAATATACACACGTCTACACTCATGTTCATAACTTTAACACACACAAATTCATGTTTACAAGAGCATATATATGCAGTCTCAGTGAACAGATTATTGGGCTTGTAATAGCCATTAGGGCATTTTTATCTCGCTCATCATACCAGACACGGTAAGCATTTTCATTCTTCTGAGGCAAATCAGAGAACACTTACTGAGGCACCAGAGAATGGAGGAATCTGGTTTCACTTCATTCACTGAGTGCTCGCAAACTACATCCATCTCAAAGAAGACATTCCTCTTAGTAGGAAAGGCTGTGTTCTTGCAACAACGTTTTCCAACACTTGGATGGACTGGATGATGGGTAGAGCTATCTATCAAAGACGATGTGGAGTAACACTGGATAGTAATAAGGTCACCGACCTTGATTTTGATACTGCTACCATCTTACGAATCGTTGGAATCCCTCTCGACGATTCTTGATGCATTTAGCAGTAATGGCAAAGCCCTTACTGCTAAGGTTTTTTAGGGTCAGACAGAACTTGTTCAGTCGGTATGCGCAGGCGGACATCGAAGTCGCACAGAGCTTTGCATATATTGAGAACGTAGTATTGCATGACTGGGCTATCAGAACTGGATATTAGCTGATGGACTGTTTTGGAAGCAACTGCCTTAAACTAGAGTATTTGAAATTACTGCTACCCGTAAAGAACGACAAATTGCATCTTCATTGTCCTGGTATTGCTTGTTTGGCAGTATGGTAGTAAAACTTTGATTATGTTTTGTACCTTGGGAGTCTTGTGAGGGGAAGCCTCGGTTCTAGAGGTTTGAATCTAGGTCTTTCGTTATCTGCTTGGAGAATGAGGACAGTGAGTACTTGCTTGCGGAATGGATATCTAAGTCACACAGGGTTTACATATCCAATTGATGCAGTGCATGATTCTGGATTGTGAGACCAGGATGTCAGCATATGAATGACCTGGTAGCAGGACTTATAAAATTGCCTGTCAGGGGTGTTTGGAGGTGTTGCTTCTTATGCAGATGAACCAAGCTATACTTTCAGGCCCTGATACTTCCGGGTTTGCTCCAAACCTTATACACACACATACACATACAAAGGAACACAAACACACAAAGTGTACACCTCAAGAGGAGAATTTCAAAAGCTCTGCCACCTCTTGTTTCTACATTCCCTATACCATCCAACGTAATCACGTTGTCATTCACTTCAGTATAGCTAGCATTATTTTAAAACCAGCTATAATGGAATGCTAGAAGCATCACAGATGGCTAATGGTTAATGGTTAAAAGCAAGATAAATGTGCTAGACATCTAAGGTCATGTAGCACTATAGTTAATGTTAGTGAAGGGTGGTTGAGTTAGTGATTAGTTGTCTAAGCTGGGCAGAGGAATTGGTGAGTGAAAGGGTTAAGGTCGGGTGTTAGATTAGATGAAGGATATGTATGCGTTTGAGGAAAGAGAACAGGTTGTTGATGCAGAAAGTGTGGGATTCTGTAAGGATGTCTGATAGGTTGGGAGGTCGGTGAATAAAGGGAATGTTGGGAAGAGACAAAATGATAATTGGGGATTGGTATTGGAGGATGTGTAAGAAAGGTTTCTTGAAGGCATACAATAGATGGGTTATAAGAGGAAAGGATATGACGAAGGCCAGGTCTGTGGGAGCGGAAACCGCGAATATTCCAATGAAGGATAGTTATACTTTCTTTGATTTAGTGATATAGACTGTAGTACGTGTTGGAGAATTTGAGGGGGAAGCATCTAGAGGGTGGGATAAGGACTGAGAGGTTTGAGATGGGAGAGGTGTGGGAATTGGTGTTCTATCAGGAGGGGTATTGGGAGATGGAGGGTCTGAGGAAGGAGATACTTGTGACATAAGGGATTCACGTGTGTATCCAGGAGGGAGTGGAAGGGATAGAGGGATGGTGGGAGGGTTAATGTGGGCGCAGTTGGGGTCGGGGGGGATGGGCTGTGTTGGGAAGGGGTAGGAGGATAGGGTGTAGGGAGGATATCGTTAGGAGGAGGATGGATATCAGCAGTTACTTGGAGTGTGGAAGGAGCAGGAGTTGTAGGTTGAGTGTCAGTTTTCATTAAGTAATCTTGAATATTTTCAATAGTTTCTTCTGAGGAGTTGGTTGGGGAGTTTTGGGGGATAAAGGATTTCTTGTGAGGGGGGGGTAGAGAGGACTGGTGTCTCAAGAGTAGGGGAAAAGGATGGTGGAGGTGATTGTGTGGTAGGGGAAGAGGGGGTGGAACGTTTGTTCTGTCTGTTACGGGTAGTGCGAGGAGGGAGAGGAGAAGGTGTTGGGGTTGTAGTGGTGATTGGAGTATCTGTAGTAGAGATTGGAGTGTCTAGATTTAGGATGGCAAAAGAGTTTGACTGGAGAAGGTAGGAGGTAGAAGTGGGGGAGTTAGATGTAGGAGGGGTGGGTTTAGGAGAAGTGGTAGAATGAGCAGTATTACTGGAGTAAGGAGTAAGAGAGAGTCCACGTCGACGTGCTTCCTGTCTGGCTTCACGCAGTGTGAGTCCTAGTTTGAATCTGAGAGTTGCTACCTCAGACTCAAATTTGTAGGTGGGACAGCCCCTATAAAATACATTATGGGGGCCGCCACAGTTGGCACATGTGCGTGATTGTGCAGAGCAGTTAGATCGGGTATGGCCAGGCTGGGCACATAGTGGGCATCTGGCTGTGGAACGGCAATGTTTGGCTGGGTGTCCTAGACGCCAACAATTTTGGCACTGACGTGGAGGAGGTTGGTATGGACGAACAGGGAGGGATTCTCCTCCTATGTAGACGTTAAAGGGAAGGTCATGTCTACAGAAGGTAATTTTGGCTATGTTAGTGGGTTTCTTTCGATGACCTCTGGGGGGAATGGAGTAGCATTGTACTGATGTAGCATCATAGTCTGTGAGACAGGCAAGTAGGTCTTCTCCACAATCTGACCAATCTTTGTCATAGATTGGGCAATTTGCTGGTGAGATTGAAACTGTTCCGGTGCAAGTATTGAGGGTTGGATGGGGTTCTGCTAGGATGGGGTTACCATATAGGTCAGTTAGTTTTGTTAATGCTATAGCTTGGTTTTCGGATGTTACTGTGACAAGACGGGAGCAGGTCGGGTCGGCTACGGAAAGAGACTTTACCTACTTGTTTTTGGAGAATTGTTGGAAGAGAAGGGTGTTATCAGAGTAGGGAGCTGTGGGAGGGATCACGAAAAATTAGTCCCATTTGGCTGCGCTAAAGAGAGTATTCAAGATTTTTGTAGAGATAGGGGTAGTAGAAGGGCAGGGGTGTGACGAAGATGGAGTAGTGTTGAGGGAGGTAGTGTTATGGAGAGGTGGGCTATAAGGCTGTAAGGTATTAATAAGGGAGGATGGGGTGGTTGATGTTGGAGGTTGTGGGGGTAGAGGTGTTGAAGTTGAGCATGCTAGGAGAGTGGAAATGTTCCTTGAGGGTTGATTGTTGGCTACTGTACTAGTAGGCATTGATGAGGGGGTGGTTATTGCAGTGTTCGGAGCCGTGGTCAAAGGAGAGCCTGGGGTCAGGGAATCGGGTGGGTTTACTTCGTTGGGGCTATTTGATAAAGGGGCAAGCCTCATTGCCCCTAATAGTGGGGATATGTTTTCATTACTGGCCATGGTAAGCCTGGATTATGTTGGGGATAAAATCAATCCGCCCCCCAGGGTCCCCTTGAGGGGTAAGGGCTAGGATAATAAATCAGGGGAATACCGTGCCCATGGCTCCCTCAGGCCGTTCAGGGACTGGCACAAAGTCAGCCTTTCATCCTTTCAGCACGGCTCTCACACCTTAGGAGGTGGATAGCAGAAGGGTTTGATGAAGGGACAGAAACGAAAAGTGGGAAGGAAAAAAAAAGACCATGCATAATTAGTTGAGTCGAGGGCTGAGTCCCAAGGTTGGGGAGTTCCCCATCATTGGGTCCCAGTCTCTGCCTCCTAAGCCCCCCCACGACAACAACGGGCCAGGGATTGGGGGGGTAGCATCACAGATTTGTTACTCTTATGCATTTTATAAATTTTTATTTCACATCAAGCCACTGGATCTGCGATAACTGGCTCAGAAAAAAGGCTTCAGTGCCATCTTTTTTAATCTATTTAGTTTAGCCCATCTTGCATATAACCCCAAAAAAATTGAATGCTGCATATCTAAAGCTGGATTATTTTCATTTATTGTTTGTAAGGAAAGCACAAACTGGCAACTCACCTAAGATTCTGTGATACTCCAATTCACCAGCTGACATTCAATGCTCATGTTTACATGTTCTTAAAAATCAAATACAATATCTTTGTTGATTCACATATCTTTTTTTCCCCAGGAAACTTTGCGAATCAAAATACTTGTAGAAGCTTGGGCGAGTTGCCGTTTTTTCCTTTGCTGAGATTGGACAGACTATACATAAAAAAAAAGGAAAAAAAAATCCTGATATTGAGTTTTATTTATCTAATTATATCTTTTGGCAGTAATGCAATAGAGAGACCTATCCATCAGTCATAGTAGGATAAGTAAACTATAATCCACGGATTATAGGTTACCTTAATGTTACAGACCTTTTGTGAAATTTCCTGAAATGAATTACCGACATGCTGTTTTCTCTACTTATTCACAGTAAGCTCTACTTTACACAATATATATCATACTTACCCATCAACCACATCTAAATGTACTATATAATGTTAGTGCACTTTATCCAACTGTCTGATTATTTCCTGCAGCTTGGTACTTTCAAGTAAAGTGTTATGCAATTCATTATATGAATATTCCCAAGGTGATCACTGAAAATTAAAACAAAATAGCATTCTTCTGTTTATTTAGCCAACTGCACAAAACTGCAGCACAATTGTACAGAAAAATACATGTGGATGAGAGAGAGAGAGAGAGAGAGAGAGAGAGAGAGAGAGAGAGAGAGAGAGAGAGAGAGAGAGAGAGAGAGAGAGAGAGAGAGAGAGAAAGAGAGAAAGAGAGAAAGAGAGAAAGAGAGAAAGAGGAAAAAAGAGAGAGGAAAAGAGAGAGAAACGGAGGAAAAAATCAGAGATCTCTATATGCTGAAAACATTGCAAACTTTATGAAAATAACCTCTATTTTTGCAAAATTGGTGTAACATACAATCAACAAAGTACTCACAATTAAGAAAACTCTCTTTATAAGAACAACCTCATACAAGAGGGCTTCAGGGACCTTCCATTAAGTAATACAAGTGATTCTACAGAATTTTTCTATGCTTTCCTTTAATATATATCACTAACAAGAGGTTGCATTTATCACCTTCATTTCCAGTTAAACTTGCTGAACAGTCTACCTGAAATTGAATTTCACCTTTAAAAGGAATCTTGTGCGGACTTGTGCTGGATTATATACTATGAATTCATTGTACATGAGTGTGTAACCTTTAGGGTTGTTCACCCCTGAATTTACAGCAGGTCCCAATGGTACCACAGTTCCATCAGATCTGAAGAGATAAAATATAGAATTGTTTTATTAAAGTCCTTTTCAAACTCTTAACAATACAAACACTACCATCAAGGGTAATGATAAACAAGTAGAGTAACTATTAACAATAACAGTATTATCATAAATAATAATATATATGATATATAAAAAAAAAAAAAAACTATTTTCTCCAAACTAAATCCAACTCTTTATTTCAACATTAGTCTGAAAAATACTTACAACTTTGTGAAGTTCTTGCTTGGTGGCACAAATTTCCCGCAGCCCTTGACTGAGTGACAACCACTGGGGAGTTTGTTGGCATTATAGTCTGCATCAAGCAAGTCATTTGTCTTTCCTAATGAGACTTCTGACAACAACAACAAGCCAACATCATTCCTCTGCGTTGCCCAACAGTAATTGGCACTTTTACTCGCCATGTCAGCAAAATAGATGCCTTTGCCAAACTGTCATAGGAGAGAAAATGAATTTCAAAGTGGTAAAATGAAATCAAATCAAGTGGTATTAACAGAGCAACAGAAACTGGAATGACGAAAGGAGGGGTGGGACAGAATCTAAATATCTTATTTCATGGTCAATAAAAACACTTTACAGAACACCAATCTTACCATGTATCCAGTAGAAGGAGCTTCTGGAGGTGCTATCCTCAGACCCTGGCTCAGGATTCCGGCCCAGTTAGAGAGTCGGGAGCCGTGCCATAACAACATGTTATTCCCAACATCCTTGAATCTTTCGTATTCATTCTCCTTCTTGCATTCAAACAACTCCAACAATTCTAGCGAATACTGAGTGTGGGTCTTGCCATGGTTTTTCAGCAGGTACTTCTCTATCACCTGCATGAAAAAAGAAAATAAGCACAAACATTCACAAAAAGATAAAGAAAAAGGGAGGGAGTCACAACCCTTTCTTTCCACATGTGTATGCCCATTTCTAGTTAGGTAATAGCCTTTTTTTTAAAAGTGTCATTAAAATATCTGCATTTCATCAAAGCATATGTGCATTATTGCTAGCTCTTCACGTGTAATACTGGAACATACCTACTTTGATGTCTTACATAACACAGAGCTTTTTCTTTTTTCTTTTTTATTGCAAAGGCATTATTCCTGTCTAGAGATCAAAATTGCTACAATGATATATGATAGAAACTGAACAATTTTTTTTTTTTCCTCATCTTTTTTGCTCCTCCTGTGAAGTTCAGCTAAAACACATTCAAATCTATTACTTGTTTTATATAGGATCTATTTTTACCAGACAATAATGATATTAGGGAGAATTAGACAAAATAAAAAAAAATATATATATATATTCTATTATCTATTTTGTTGCATTTGGCAAATACCTGGTCTATGCAAAATTGTAAAAGAAAACATCACAACATAAAACTGTTTTATTGCCTCCCTCCTCTCCCTAAAGGATAGTCCCAACATGAACAGATTTTAAAGGGAGAAGAATAAAAAGACGAAGAAGCAAGACACCATACAACCAATCTTGTGCAGAAAATTACTAAAAATAGACTCTACCTTAAAATCAGCAGATTCTTTCTCAACAGGAGAAATCTCACATTTGAGGCTTAGGTAGTGCTGGTCAGCTGGATGAACATTGATGTCTATAGGCTGGTCTAGAACACTAAGTGCTGCCTGAATATCTCCCAAAGCCTCAAGTAATGACATTTTTTCCTGAAGTTCTGCTCTTGTGCGAATAAGAGGTGGGACTTTCATCCCAAAATAATGTGGTATTCTGGAAAAAGAAGAAAATGTTGATATAGATACACTGTTCTGCTATGTCTATCTTGTGGACCATCTTCTATTCTATAATATTTGAATACATGATATTAAGCTTTGCTTA